ATCATAACCATCACACAGTCTACAAGTTCTACGTTGGCCAGCGTAAGTTACGAGTATTTGGTCCTAAATTCCTCTAAGAACACATACGAAGGTATAGGTTGTCCTCAGAGTCATCTTTAGGCTAAAACTACCTTCTGGATACCCACATAAGCCCCTGCCGTCCACTTGCCTTGTTGAGCTACGTGTACAGTTCCAAACTTCCCGAACACACTACGTAGGTCAGCTTCATTTGCCTCGAAAGGCACATTACGTAACTTTACATACGTAAATTGACTCGAAACATCGACCATCTTTACCAGGATGCCCTCGTTAACCTCGATAGCAACATCCTGATATTGAGCAAGTAGATCCTCATACACGTGTGATAGCAGTTTCACGAACATTCGGTAGTTTCCATTTAAGGCTACACCGTAAAGGTCGCAATCCTAAATTTCCCATATGTCTCTCGAATAATCAGAGGCAACAACGTCAACGCCGAATCTTGATTAATTGTACCTCTCAGTAATTCTATGCCGACAGTGTTAATTCTGCGTCGCACCCCCAACCACCATTGTGACAGCCTGGCTAGCACTTGCGCCTGTCAGAGAGGAGTAGCAAACGTCCACCCTCACCGGCAGCTGGGCGAGGCATTATTAGTAGTAGTAGTGGTAAAGCATAAGGACAAGAATACTGCCGGAGAACTACTGGCCCACAGGGCACAGGACAAAAAAAATGTGAGACAAACACCCCGCCATAGAACAAGAACTACCTAGGCAAAATACAAGTCAGCTCAAGTCACGAGTGTACTGAAGTTTAGAGTATTTGACAACGTAATGGGAAAGACAGTTTTGATAGAGGACCAGCAGATAGGAAGACTGTGATCTCTAATATGACAGGAAAAAAGCGTTGTTAGTGTCAACAAGGCTAATATGTCTGACAGAAAGAGAGCGGCCAGTTACACTAACATATTGGAGAGGGTAACAGGAGCAGGAAATGAAGTAAACATTCACTTTAAGTACACTGATAATTGTTATCAGTGTATGTACACTGGTGATACTGTAGTCTGAGGGGCTAATATATCTTCCCCTCCTCTCCCCGGTGTTTCCCAGGGATACCCCCAATTTTCTAAGGAATCCCCCGGGAATCTTTTGGGATGTTCTGTGAAGGTTACGATAACCTGAAGACTTGGTGGCTTTGATGTGTACATGTGTTGTGTGTACCTTTGTCTGTACCTTTGTTGTGTGTAACTGTGTTGTGTGTACCTTCCTGTGTTGTGTGTGTACCTGTGTTGTGTGAACCTTCCTGTGTTGTGTGTACCTTCCTGTGGTGTGTGTACCTTCCTGTGTTGTGTACCTTTGTTATGTGTACCTGTGTTGTGTGTACTAGTGTTAGGTTTACCTGTGTTTCGTGTGCCTGTGTCATGTATATCAATGTCGCGTATACCAGTGTTGTGTGTACCTGTCTTGCGTGTACACCTTCAAGGACAGTCATAGTAATCCGCACAGATCTAACAACAGTATTAGTGTATGAAGGGAGGGGGTGTTGATGGGGGACCGGAGGGAGGGGAGGTGGGGTGGTGGTGTTGGTTAAGAGTGGGAGTTGGTGGTTGGAGTGCAGGGGGGGTTAATGGGGATAAAGGTGTAAGTACCAACCCAAAATACTCAAGAAGTGCCTTTTTTCAGGGGACTCAAGAAACTACAATGGCAACTCCATTTCCTTGGACCAATTATTCAATTCTTCCCTCCTCATAAGATCATCCAGGTGTATAAATTTTTATTCACGTTTAAATAAGTTCCCTGACATGTATAAAGTTCCTTCAGGTGTAAAAATTTTTCCATGTGTATAAATATGTTTTGTACTCATTAACGGGTTTTTGATGTGTATAAACAAGTTTTTAAACGTGTATAAACAAGTTTTACAAGTGTATAATAAATTTTGTTAAAAAATCACCTGCCTTTCTCTGGTTACAGTTCGTCAGCATAGCGGCGCTATCAATAAACGAAAAATACACAAATTTAACCCGCACATGGGAGAGAGGAGCTTACGACGAAGCTCGGTCTGACTTGGACCATTTACAATGTCAGTGTGACTTTGTAAAGATCCAAGTCGGACCGAAACGTCGTCATGGGATTTCTCTCTCCCCTATGTGCGTTTTGTTTGTGTATTGTTCCAGTCACGGTATTGTGCCTTATTATTCTTTAATTAACGAAAACCTTGGATAAAGAAAGGAGCACTCTTTTTACGGGCTATTTTGATGATTACAAGGAACTTTTACGAAAATATATTTAATATTTTACTGGCTCGTTAAAATTAGATACCCTATTAAACGTTTTTAATATTTCTCAATCTTCTTTTGTCACATATTTCTTCAAATTCTCTACACGAGAAAAGGAACAGTGGGCCACTTGAAACGTGCACTTTAGGGATCTCCTAATAAAAGCCAATGGGGTGCATAAAAAAAGATTTTAAACTTAACCTGAGTTATTTACTGTTTACATTGCCGCCTGAAGCGATGTACAGCCTTCACCTTGCCCCAAGGACACAGGGAATACCACCGGTTGCTAGCTGAGCGCTTAAGTAAGTAAGTAAGTAAGTTTATTCAGGTATACAAAAATACAGTTACATAGAATTATCATACATAGCAGCATATGTGTAGAGAACCTAGGATAACCCAAAAAAGTCAGAGTGACTTATTTCCATTGGAAGGAACGTTGTTCTCGTTATATTGTTATAAAAAAACATGACCTGGTCACAGCCCGGGCCGGGGGGGCGTTGCCCCCCGTAACTCGCTCCGGGGTAAGCTCCAGGTAAACTCCAGGTAAACTCCAGGTAAACTTCAGGTAAACTCCAGGTAAACTCCAGGTAAACTCCAGGTAAACTCCAGGTAAACTCAACAGTGTGAAGCGAAAAAAACAGCTTCTGAGGCGGTGAATCTATCAGTACTCGAAGATCATTAAGTATGCACTTCACCTGTGTACTAAAGTCCTGAAACATTAAAAATGGTAATACTATGGCCATAATAACCTTAATTTTAAATGGAATGGACCGGTAAGCCATGTGACGACCTCGGTCAGATGACCGAAAGCTCCAGTGGTGGGTCATCATGTGAGTAAAATCCGCATCAGGAAGCCCTTTTCCTGTTTCCTGACGAAACTTACCTAACCTTAATTAACCTAGAGATTAAAGCAAACTCTTATTGCATGTACACTAAACGATATTCACTATTGTACATGTATGTACATTATTATATGTATATACCCAAATGTAAGTAGTCAGTTGTTTACAGGTGCATACACATTCTTGATGTCTTGATGCCACTTACTAAAAAATTGTTTTTTGTGAAGAATAAAAAATGCATTTTTAAGGAAATTGCAATATTCTGCAGAGGTTAGGAAGGCTATAAAAAGATTTTTATTTAAATTATTTGAAAACCTTATTCCGTCACTGAGTTGTTAAGAAACATGAACTATCTAATGGCAGTTTAGAAAAATTAACAACAAAAGCCCCCATCACAGCAAAGACTAAATTCATGACTTGTTAACACACAAGGATATATCATGACAAAATACGCAAGTCACCCAATGAATATTCATGAAAAAATTGTTAAGATGCATTTAGTCAGCCCAGGAAACCCAGAGAAAACGGAGCAAGATTTGTAGATGAGGAAGTTACAGAGATGAGGGACTGAACAAGTTACTGAGATGAAGGACTGAACAAATTACTGAGATGAAGGACTGAACAAGTTATAGAGATGAAGGACTGAACAAGTTACAGAGATGAAGGACTGAACAAGTTACTGAGATGAAGGACTGAACAGGTTACAGAGATGAGTTTGTCAGTAATAATTAATTCAACAACGAGAGCTTTTAAGACATGTCACCTACGCGTCACCACTGGAAATAAATACACTAACTCCACTGGAAATAAATACACTAACTCCACTGGAAATAAGCCATTTTATCTGACCTTTTAGGATTACCCTAGATAATTTACACATATGTTAAACTATGTATGATAATTGTACTTATGTGTACCTGTGCCTAAATAAACTTAAAGACGCCTGCTACCCTCGATGCATATGTACTGCTACTTTGTGTGCTGTACACAGCCAGAATATTATATTTCCAGAATGCATATAAAGTAAATATGTTTATTATTATTATTAAAGATTCGAGGGGAATTCTCCCGGCCCGGGCCTTTTCCAAGTGGTGGCCCGGCCTTGGCTCCCTCTCTAGTGAGTGTCTGAGAACTAAGTCTCCCATGGGAGGAGGCACAAGTACCCCCTCATCTTTGGGACCAACTGTCCCCAGGCCTAGCCACATTCCCCGCCCTCACTGGGCTCGTAGGAAGAAGCTAGGCCTCTCTGATCTGCCATCCCCGCCCCAAGGGGGCTAATGGGCATGGCAGTCTTGTGAGCTGAAAGCTCGGGCTCAGGCACCTACCCTACCCTAGAAGGGCTGGGGCATGGTGTCGATTTAAAATATGTTTAGCACTGTAACACTGATATATATTACAGGGGTCACCCGGAGATTCTTCCGTCCCCAAACACTTAAAAACATTTTAATTTTTTTTGATAAGGTTAGATAACTTAATCTTTTTTTTTTATTATGTAAACTTTGGTAAGATTGAGTTATGTTGTTAAGTAAACGTGTGAAAATAATAAGCATACATACCAAAATTTTGCTTATTAACTTTCACATCTGACGGCAGATAGTTGTGATTAAAATATAATAGTTATCCTGTACAAATAAAATTAGTTTTCTATTATAGTAAGTTGCAGTTCGTTTTCTATGTTTTTCTATGGGTAAACCTTGAAAAAAATAGGTAATAAATAAAATTCATGCTGAAATTAATTTAAATTATATTTAGCCTATCTCTAACACTTAAAATTCACCTATGTAATAAATTATGCAGAATTTACTCTTGAAAGTCAATAAAGCAAACACTGTTTTTATATTCTGTGCTGTAGCTTGGATGGCAACGCTCTCATTTCACACACTGAGTGTCCTTGGTTCAATAAATCCCTGGTGTGGGTGAGGTAATCTGTGCTGAGTGAAGACGTACTTTGTAAGCTCTTTGTAAAACTGAACCAACTATGCTCTCAATCGAGCAACGCTACCAACAGCTTAAAGAGGAGCAGAAGGAGGTCAGACGAGAGAGATTCGACGACTGACTGAAGAATAAGTAAGTTTATTTATTTATTTATTTTATTTATTTAGTAATTTGAGCATACATACAGAGGTACAAAAAAATACAGGTAAGAGCAGCATGCCAAAGCCACTTATATACATAGCATTACGGGCTGGCTTAAAATTAACTTAAGATTAACTAAGCAATGATGAAATCAGTGATAAGACATTATTGTAAACAGATAACTATAAAACACAAATGAGCATTACAAGACGGTCATATGGTTGCATGCATTGCTGTACATTCAGTCTATGGAGTATTTGTTAGGAAGTGTATTTAAAAAATAAAAAAGTTTAGATTGGGTTTTGGGGTTCAACATTTATGTGATATAATTGTGAGAAACATTTAAGTATACAATTTATAAGGTTCAGTTATTCAGTATTTATTTGGTTTTGGGTGAGTAAGTGATTTTTGAGAAGAGACTTGAATTTATAAACAGGGTAGTGTTTCTTTTATATTTACAGGTAATGAATTCCAGATTTTGGGGCCCTTTTTATGTGCACTGATTTTTTGCATAGTGTGGATGGACACGAGGAAATCAAAGATGATCTGTGCTTGTGTTATGGTCATGGTCTGTTGAGGTTGGCAAGGAGTGTTTGAGGGGGAGGGTTATATCAGAGTTAAGTGTTCTTGATGTAATAAGTGCAATAATAAGTATGGATGTTTTTTTATGGTGAGTAGGTTGAGTGTTTGAATATTGGGGAGTTGTGCGCTGTAGTGAGAATTTGTATCATTCTACTGCAGCCTTTTGTTGGGTAATTAGGGTCTGAGAGGGGTTATTGTTGTTGGCCCTTGCACAAATTCCATGGTGAGATGGGGTAAATTGAGAGTGATATAGGGCCAGGAGGGTGATGTGGAGCATAGGTACCGTATTTCGATAGTATGCAAACAGTCTTGGAATTTTCTTAGAAATTTGTGTTGTTTGTGTATGAATTTGAGCTATTATCAAGGTGGATCCAAGAATTTTCCCTCTGTTAGCCCTTGTGATATGGATCCGTTTATCATTATGTTAAGAGGGACATCTGTGGCTTGTTACCAATGAATGAGGGGGTTTTGTCAATGTTTTAGTGTAAGTTTGTTAGTCCTCATCCAGGTAGATATTTTCTGTAATTCGGTATTTACAGTATTGGCTAGCGTGACTGGGCTCGGGTGAGAGAAAGACGTATGTGTGTCATCTGCAAATAGTGTGGGTTTGAGTAATTGCGAAGCATTTGGTAGGTCATTTATGTATAGGAGAAAGAGAAGAGGGCCAAGGACACTTCCCTGTGGGACACCAACTGTAATTGGTTGTGCGGAAGAGCTTGCCCCATTTGCGTACACATATTGGCTTCTGTTGCTGAGGTATGACTTGAGGTAGTTGAGGGAGTGCCCTCTTATACCATAGTGTGACAATTTTACGTGGAGCAAGTCATGGTCAACTGTATCAAAAGCTTTACGTAAGTCAATGAAGATCCCCAGAGGGACTGTTTTTTTTCTCTATTGCAGTGTATATATGTTCTAGCATGTGTATAATAGCATCATTAGTATTTTTATTAGGCCTGAATCCAAAATTTGGCAGGGTTGAGAATGTTTTGGGAGATGAGGTAGGAGTAGATTCGTTTATGAATTAATTTTTCGAAGATTTTTGAGAGAGGGTGTAAATTGGATATTGGCTTATAGTTATTCAACTCTGTTTGGTCTCCTCCTTTATGGATCGGGGTGACTCTTGCTATTTTGAGAACTGTAGGGAAGGTGGAGGATTCAATGGATTTGTTAAAGAGTGTTGCAATGATTGGTGATAGTACTTGTGACACTTTTTTGTATATAAGGGGTTGTAAGGTATTTAAATCTCCTGCCTTGTTTTTTATTGCGTTGATAATAAGGGAGACTTCGTATGGGTTAGTCGGAGCTAGGAACAGTGTGTTCGGGTAGTTGCCAGTGAGGTAGTCATTTGGGGGTATCTGAGCTTGGGATTTTATTAGCAAGGTTTTGTCCTATAGTGGAGAAGAAATCATTGAGTCTGTTTGCTGTTTCTGTTGGGTGAGAGTTGGGGTTCATCTGATTTTGCTAATTTTATTTCGCTATTTCGTGATATCTTTTTTTTTCCCCAGAATTTCTGATGGGGTTTTCCAGGTCTTTTTATATCACCTCGTAAGTTGGATAATCTGTTCTCATAATACAATTTTTTTTGCCCTTCTTATCAGGCTGGTTAGGATTGACGAGTAACGTTTTGTTTGGTCTCTGGTTATGTGACCCATTCTGTACTGTTTTTCATATCGGTGTTTTGTATTTATGGATTTGAGAATGCTGGGTGTTAGCCAGGGACTGTTCAGTCTCTTAGCTGTCATCTGTTTAGTTTTTTTAGGGCAGTGCTTGTTATAGAGGCATTGGGTCTTTTTTAGGAAATTATTAATACATTCGTCAATATCTGTATAGATTTCTAGCTCAGTGTGCCAGTCAATGTTTGTTACTGCTGTTGTGAAGTTATTAATGGCTGCCTCATTGTGAAGTCTGAAGGTGACTTTAGTAATGTCTTGGGGAATTACCAAGAGTTGTTATGAGGAAAGTAGGGTAGTGGTCTGTGGTATTATCTGTAATTATGCCTGATTTTAAAGGGGATATGGTGTTGGTCCAGATGTGGTCAAGTAGGGAAACACTAGTCTCCGTAACTCTTGTAGGTTTTTTTTACTGTTGGTAGCAACATGCAGTTACTCATTGTGTTTGTGAATTCAGTAACGTGTGGGTCCTGGTCTTGCAGGAGATTTATATTGAAGTCACCTGAGAGTAGTAAGTGATCTTTGTTCATGCGTGCATCAGTTATCATACTTCCTAGGTTTTGACTAAATTGGCTAATGTTTGATTGTGGAACTCTGTAGATGTTTATCAATGTGAGAGGTTTTTGTAGGTATTTGGATTTGAATTTAGCTATTATATATTCCCCATGTTCATCCCTTGTGCAAGTATTAGTGATACATTCTAGTTGGTCTGAGTAGTATATAGCTGTGCCACCCCCTTGTTGATCTGTCCTACAGTTGTGTATGGCTGTGTAACCAGGAATGGCATAGACATCTGTAGTATCAGGCTTTAGCCAGGTTTCAGCTAGTGTAATGATGGACATATTGGCATGTTACATAGTTACATAGTTACAGTTACATAGATTATCATACATAGCAGCATAATCCTCGTAGTAATCCTCCTATTGTGAATTCTCAGGTCAAGAGAGGGACTCGACAGGGGATGGACAGAATGTCAGATTAGGTTCATGGATAGGGCTTTCGGCTTGAAAGAAAAGAGCAGGACACAGAGAGTTTGCTTTCCTGGGGCTGGGATGGAAGATATTGTTAGCCGTCTTGACAACTTTATGAATAGTAATGGAATCAGTCCTATTATCTGCCTCAATGCTGGAGGCAATGATGTAGGCAAGTGTAGAAGTGAAGATTTAGTTAGCAGGTATAGGACAGCAGTAAACATAATTAAGAAGAAGGGAGAGCACCATGTTACATGTGGCACTGGCCTAGAAAGGGAGTTGGAAAAGAATGGTTGTCCAGAGCAAATGGTATTAATTGTTGAATGGACAAATTCTGTAAGGATGGTGCATTATCATTCACTGAGAACTGGGATCACTTCTATGATAGAAAAAATATATATGCAGGGGATGGGGATTCACCTATCTAGGGCTGGTGTGAGTGCTCTTGTTAGTTCAGCGGAGAGTGATGTTAGAACTTTAAACTCAGATATGGCAAACACGAGGAAATTAAATCGTCATCAGAGTAAAAAACAAATTCTGGCCACAAAATAGAGCGAAACACCAACGTCAAAGACCTGGGAGTGATCATGTCGGAGGATCTCACCTTCAAGGACCATAACATTGTATCAATCGCATCTACTAGAAAAATGACAGGATGGATAATGAGAACCTTCAAAACTAGGGAGGCCAAGCCCATGATGACACTCTTCAGGTCACTTGTTCTATCTAAGCTGGAATATTGCTGCACACTAACAGCACCTTTCAAGGCAGATGAAATTGCTGACCTAGAAAATGTACAGAGAACTTTCACAGCGCGCATAACGGAGATAAAACACCTCAATTACTGGGAGCGCTTGAGGTTCCTAAAACTGTATTCCCTGGAATGCAGGCGGGAGAGATACATGATTATATACACCTGGAAAATCCTAGAGGGACTAGTACCGAACTTGCACTCGAAAATCACTCACTACGAAAGCAAAAGACTTGGCAGATGATGCACCATCCCCCCAGTGAAAAGCAGGGGTGTCACTAGCACGTTAAGAGACCATACAATAAGTGTCAGGGGCCCGAGACTGTTCAAGTGCCTCCCAGCATACATAAGGGGGATTACCAACAGACCCCTGGCAGTCTTCAAGCTGGCACTGGACAAGCACCTAAAGTCGGTTCCTGACCAGCCGGGCTGTGGCTCGTACGTTGGTTTGCGTGCAGCCAGCAGTAACAGCCTGGTTGATCAGGCTCTGATCCACCAGGAGGCCTGGTCACAGACCGGGCCGCGGGGGCGTTGACCCCCGGAACTCTCTCCAGGTAAACTCCAGGTATGTTGGGTTATGATAATAACAAAAACTGTGGAAAAGCAAAGCTGAACAGGGAAATGATGAGGAAAAAAATATAACAAATTTTACACAAATAGTTAAAGCACTAGGAATATAATTAATGAATTACGTTTGGTAGTGTGTAGGGAATTTTGATTTATCGCAGTAACTGAAACATGGTATAATTTTATGAGTTGGGACACGTTACAAAAAGAGAAGTAATGTGTCTTGTTGGGTTACAGAACAGAAGCGAGTGGAGAACTCCGGGAAGTTTGGGATAAATCACCTTACGTATGTAGCCTGTGAATATCTTCTCTTTGCTAACAAGGTGTTGGATCACGGTCACGACTGGTTATCTTGGGTGTAGAAGACTTAATACACTTTTTGTAAATTATAACCAGGAGACAATCCGACAAAATAATAATTTAATATCTTTAATATTAACGTGTCTTATA